GATGGAAGATGAAGAGTAGGGAGCCTGGCCTGGGCCTGCTGATGGAAGCAGCCCTTCCATGGAGAGGCTACCAATGCTGGAAGAGACAGCGCCCTTGTGAGGCAGCTCTGGGTGATTTGGGGGGTGGTTCCTGGCAGCAGAGCTGCTTTCCTTTCAAGGAAGTTACCACTAAATGTGTGTATATATCCAAAATTCATATGCTGAAGCCCTAAGCCCCGATGTGGTGGTATGTGGAGGTGATTAGGCTTAGATGATATCATGAGGGTGGGGCCCCCATGTTGGTATTAGTGTCCTTATAAGAGGAAGACAGCACAGAGCATTCTCCCTCCACTGTGCCTTTGAGACACGGCAAGTAGGCTGTGTATAAGTTACCAAGTGGACTCTCATCAGGAACCAAATCTACCGATATCTTCATCTTGGCCTTCTCAGCATCTCTCTAGAGCTCTGAGAAGTGAGTGTTATGCTGCCTGGCCTGCAGTGTTTTGTTACAGCATCTGAGCTGATTAAGATGTGGGGCTTCTGTGTTCTTCCCATTATCCCTGAAAGGGCCCCAGTCTTCTCCCATCAGCCAGAATCTGCTGCTGGCTCCTGGGAAGCCAATTAGCACACCCTCAGGAGCACGAGCCACCCTTGGCCTGTGGCACAGAGCCCATCTCTGATCCTCTTTGCCTCCCCTGTTTTCCTCCTGCTCCAGCAGGGGGCTTAGTGGCCTCCATTCAGCTTTGGGAGAGGGTGGGGCCCAATCTGGCTTGTTATTCACCTTGGGGTGGAGTGTGACATCAGGGACCCTGCTCAATTTGGAGATAGAGCTGCCTTGGCCTGATGAGGAGGAAAGACACGCTCATCTTTGCATGGGAGAGGGTGCCATCTTTCCTTAGCACAGCGGCAAGAAGAGGACAAGTCTTTGGGAAGGGATGGCCAGGTGGTCAGCACCATGACTGACGTTGTCCGTACAGTTTCTCCAGCTGTTATAAAGCAAGTGCAAGCTCATGAGACAGAAGGGAAAACCGAGGCTGGAAGGGAGGAATGGGAAAGGCTTATCAGACAGGAGTCCATGCCAGCTCTTCCTCAGATGAGCTCTGAGGGCTTTTCCTGGCTGTATGCTTTCAGCTGCGTTGCCATAGAATACTACATTTTTTTTTTTACTGTATAATTCTCATATTTGACTTATGTTACTTACCTCTCTTCACTTTCCCCTTTCTGTGAATCCTTTAATGTCAGGAGCCAGTTCACACAACCAGAACCTAGCACAGAGCTGGGTTTGGAAAAGTTCACATTAAACAGGAAGTTGATGGCTGTTGTAATAAAACCCTGTCACTGTGACTGAGAGTCGGGGTGGAAGTTTATTTCCTACTCACATAAAGATCCCGATGGGAGCTGCTGACTCCTGGGTGGCCCTCCTTTAAGCAGGGATTAGGGTTTGGTCCCCTCTATGAGCCGACTTCACTGCCTCCTCCATGTGGCTTCTGAGACCCCCACACTCCTCTGCCATGGACAAGGAGGAGGGTGCTGCCCTGCAGTCTCACAGCTCGGCCCCAGAGGCAATCTGCTTCTGTTTCACAGGTTGGGTAGAGCGCGGCCACAGCGTAGGGCAAGTCCCCACTTGACCTCACCTGAGCATGGGAAGAAGATGAAGCTGGCTTGGCACACATTGAGCTGGCCTCTGAAATCTTGAGCAAGGCTTCAAAGAAGGAGGATTTCAAGGACAGAGCCGAGGGACCACATCCCAGAGAGCAGCAGGCAGAGGAGTACTGCGGCGTGGAGGGTGGTGTGGGGCTCAGGACGCAGTACTCCTCCCGCCCCCACCCTGTGGTTTCTGCCCTGATTTCAGTATCTCGGGTGCAGCAGGGTCCTGTGGTGCCCGCTTGCCTGGCCTGGGACGCCCGGTCCAGCCCTTAGCTCAAGCTGATTAGCAGTTATCTTGCACATTCTCTGTGCTTTGGTGTCCTCCTGTGTGGAAGCGAAGACACAACAGAAACAGAACCATGGAAGTAATTTTTAGAAGGTGGGATGACAGAAATAGTTTCTACCACATAGGCATGGCGCAAATTAAATGAGTTAAAACCTGGAAAAGATTTAGAGGAGTGCTTGGCATTTGATAAGCATTCAATAAACTTAGTGCTTTTCTCTCTTTTCATCTGCACACACGTGTATTCTATAGGTGTGTGTGCGGGTGTGCAAATTATAACAGCACCAGGACAGAGATACTGTAATATGTGGATCAGAGAAAGAAGGCAGAAGGTCAAAGGATTTGACTTCAGCTTCGTGCTTTGGCTAATAACCTCCCAGCTCTCTTATTAATCTTAGTTAGCTCTTCAGACTGTACTAGTCTTCTGGTTGGCTTGCTGCTCCACCAGTTGTCAACCCCTTTTTTGTGACATTTGGGGTTGCATTTTTTATCTTGTGTTGTGATGTAAGTCTCATCTCTCTCTCTCCCACCTTTTATCTGAGATCTGGCTCACTGGCACGAGTACCATGATGGCACTCATTAGTACTGGTCGGACCTCGCTGCTGCTGGCTTGCTCAGACCACAGCTCTCCTGCCGTGAGTCTTTGTTTCAGTGGGTGCACTGCCCGTGGATGCAAGGTCGTTTCCAGTTCCTTCCCTGGCCCCTCCCTGCTCTCTGTGCCCCTTCTGGCTTCCAGTGGACTGCTTTCCACAGTTAAAGGACACCCACACCCAATTTCCCTGCACGTGGGCTACAAGTTCTTGAGGTCCTATGCAAGGTCTCTTGCCAGCTCAGTAGCTGCCCCGCATGCCAAGTACAGATCTGGTGCCCACTCTCTCCCCAACTGCTGGGACAGGTGATGGGCAGCGAGTGCTGACATTTGATGAACTGCCTCCCTGCATTCTTGCTTCATGGAGAGACCAGGTGGAGTGGTTTAGTCAAGTCCCCAAATGTGACCACACTATTTGTGCTGCACTTCTCAGTCCGGAGGAGACTTGCTGAGCAACTTCTCACATGGGGCTCATGTAACTCTGATGGCTATCCTGGTGATGGCCCCCTTTCCCTGGCGTCCTGGGGGACAGGATCTGTTCTGTGCCCTGAGGACCTGCCGTCCCAGCCCAGCAGTTTTGGCCTTCTGATTGCTATTTCCAGCCTGGCTTACCTGACCATTCCTTCCCAGTATGAACAGCTGTTTCTTTCACTCCAGTTGCTGCCCGGCCAGGTTGGTGATTTTTCTTCTGCCCTTTTGTTTGTGCAGAACATAAATCTTTTTCTCTTTCTGACCGGCCTGCAGTTCCATCCACCTGTGCCTGCCTTGAGCAATGTATAACTCTCGCCAGGTTCTGTTCCCTTTGCTGGCTGAAGCCTATAAACCAAACTTTTTCTTCTCTTTCTCCTTCTGGGCTGATTCAGCACTCTCTTAGCACCTGGCTGCTGGTTAACAATTAAACACACAAAGTCCATTATTTGATGGGCCTGACTGGAACTGGTGGCTGGCAGAATGAGACGTGCAACAGACAGCTCGGTCCAACTCGCCTTTCTCTCCTCTCCCTGAGTTCAAGGAGACTTAATTTACACTAGGTTAGCAGCAAGCGTGTTAAAGGAAAATGGGTTAATTGAATAATTGGTCCTCAACAAAAGATTTTGTGCCGTTAAAGTGCAGCCAGTTGATGGAGTCAGGCCAGTTAAATATTTAGCAATGATCACAAAAATTGGGTGTGAGCTTAGGAAGTGCACAGGAACTCAAGCTCTTAGGAAAGGGCTGAGCGGATTCCAGACTGTTAGTAGTCAAATGCTGTGGATTTGCTAGCTGCTGTCCCCGCTTCCCGGCATTTGGTTTGACACATTTACTTCCACTGTCTGGATTGCAGAAGTTCTCTATGTTTTCCTTTTGCCTGTTTTAAAAGAATGATTTGATATTCTTGAATCACTATCACACCTCTGGTTGGAAACCAAGATTAGTAAACTTTTCACCCAAGAAAGGTTGTAGCAACAGGTTAGGCGGAATGAGGATTCTCAGTTATTCTCACTAACAAACTGTAGTGAGATAAATCTTCATTTTATTAGAATCTGGAGTCTTTCAGACACACACACCTTCATGTAACTTGTGTGTTATAGGTGATCACTGGTAGGGAAAGCTCAGCTGCCTTTCCGTTTCCTTTGACAGGCAAACTTGTAGGTTTACATGCTGCATCTTTCCCTCCCTCCCTAAGTTCTGCTTGCAGTGGGTCAAGATTTGGTGAATAATTAAAACCTAAGCATCTAATGGATACGAGATCCTATGCTCTGTACGGGATGTCATCAAACCAACTTAGGCGGTGTCAACAGGGTTTTGAACACTGGATGGAAAATTCTGACACTCCCATGGCTCTCCGAGCTGGCGTGTGGCATCCCATTTGAATTAACTGATCTTCCCATTTCTTTGACAGAGTACAATGGTACATCATGGTATTTGTATGGTGATTTGTGTCTTCGAATGTGTCTTCACCTCTTTATTGTCCCTGATCCTGACATCAAAAGAGGACAGGATGCAAGGTGGATGGGGCAGTGCCACTTATAGGAAGAAAAACCACACATCTTGGCAGTAGAGTCTGAGGGTTTGTGTCTCTGACACTGGGTCTATGGCACCCTCTGGGTCTTGAGGTGCCATCTGGGCATTGAATCAAGTATCCATTCTGCACCATGTAGTTCTGGATGTGAATTCCAGTGCCAAGAACCTCTTTTTCTTGGGCATTTGCAGTCCACCCATAGCACTAACTCTAATTGTCAAGGAAATTGAGCATTCAGTTATTCCAAACACCTTATTTTCAGGAGTGTGGGTAAGAGCATAAAACTTGAGATAGCCAACAAGAGGGCCATCTACACAGAATGATCAAAATGTACAGTGAATATTAATTTAAAATTTTTTTACAGTAAGAGGTATGTTGATATTAATCCTCCCATACCAAAGTACTTCCCCTCACTTTAAATATTCTTCCTGTGTCTAGGTATTCTCGATGATTTCTAAGGCAGTTCTGAATTGTCTTTCATGATTGTCTTTGCTAGGTGTGATAAAAAAAAAAAAAAAAAAACAGTGCATGCTGTTACCCAGCGTCATCAACGGGAAGGCACGCTTGTGAAAACATTACGACGTGCATCCTTGTCCACCTGATTCACTGGATCTGCACCTCATGACTTGTGGGTCTTCCCCAAAACCAAAGTGAAACTGAAAGGTAAATGTTTGTAATTTACCCAGGGCTGGGAGACAGCCACAGCAGTGTGACGAAAAGCCCAAAAGAAAGAGCACTTCCAGAACTGCTTTGGACAGCGGCAAGGATGATGGGACCAGCATGTTGGAAGTGAGGGGGGATTTTGAGGCTGATTAATGTGACACTGTGTCTTTTACTGCAATGCATTTTTAAACATTCAAGAGTTCACGTATTTTTCAGCCACACTTCAGAGTTGAGTCTGCCCATTTAAAGCTGAGTCAAAGCCCAGGAAAGAGAAGCAACTCTGGGCTTCCAAATTGGCTGCCAGTTGGTCACTGGGCTGCATCAAAGATGCGAAGCCACACCCACCTCAGAGAGGGTGACAATTTTCCCAGGGTTCCTCTCACAGTGATCACAAGGACAAAGAAGTCACACCGTATACATGATTTTTGGCAAAACTGATGAATTAAATACATGTATACATATTTGTTTAAAAACATTAAGTTCAGAGAAATGATGTATTCTCAGGACATTTAAATTAATTTTAGAAGCAATGGTATTCTTTTCATTTGAGTCCTCTGTATGGAGGTTTGTTTAATACTTTGTCAATTCTCTAGGAATTTAAGACCAATAAACCACTGGTTTGGGAGTTAACCTCCTGAGCCCACTAACCTCATGTATTTAAAATAATAATATCAAATATGGAGCAAAAGCTTGCTGTGGTGAAGAACTCTAATTACTTTTATCCATTTGATTTTCTCAAGCACTCTAGAAGGTTGGTACTATGATCTCATTTTACAGACAGGGAGGCTGAGGCTCAGAGAACCGGTGGCCACATCCTTCGTGAATCAGTCTTGGTTTAAATGAACAGAGTCTGAGTGTAGAACCTATAATTTTAAACACTGCTGTTCTGCCTTCCTGTTCATATTTCAACAAAAATTCTTGTAGATTTTTATTTTCTGATAAACATGAAGTGAATTTCCAATTAAAAATGCAGTAAGTTCCTGGGCATGGTGATACATGTGTAATCCCAATACTCAGGAGGCTGAGGCAGGAAGATCACTGTGAGTTTAAGAGCCTGGATTACACAGTGAGTTCAAGGCCAGCCTAGAAGACATAGTGAATGCTTTTCTCAAAAAAAATATGCACATATGTATATCTATAGTAAACTGCTCAAATTTTTCTCCTAAAAATTTCTGAATTTGGTAATAGTGTGATGTCCAGACAGATGCCTTCCTGAATTTATGGGAAAAGGCTCTCCAAGGTTGTTGATCACAGGACCCAGGACTTTTGGGTGTGAAACTTCTGTAGCAAGCACTATACCTTTAAGGAAAATTCTAAACCTGCATAACCTCTCTCATAATTTGGGCACTTGGTACAGAACGTAATGAAGACATATACTTAAAAAGATAACAAGCGATGAGCGAATGATTATTAAGCTGGGTCTGAAAGCCCAATTATGTTTCTGCTTGCTTCTAGGTGATAAAGAGGGCAGCATGTTATGTTTTTGCCCAGCTCATTGATTCTGTAGTGTCATCCACCAAATTTTGCTGGCTGATCAGTGCAGATTTAATGTGACTATCATGGCACAAGCAGGCTTCCCATCTCGGGTGAAAGAACTTGGAATTTTTGATTTTTTAATCTACCACCCCTTCCCCCATTTAATAAGGGTGACCCCACCGAGAGCTGGAACGACCTCAGGGTGCCTCCTTTACAGCTCTGTCTCCCCTGACTTACTACCGGCTCTTTCAAAGGGTACAACTTACCAGAGAAAATGCCACATAAAATTTTATACTTCTCATATTCTGTTTCCCTTTTTAAGTTGCAAACGGAAGATTGTACCGCACTGCAACCAAAAGACCCCCTTGGGCAAGAAGCACACAATGGAGAGCTATTTATAAGGTTTAAATTATCCGTATTAGCATACTTAAGATTCACCAGAGTGGGTCCTTGATGCCAGGTGCAATCCACAGTGATGCCTCTGCATTTGGTCCCATCGTCCAGTACACAGATTCTCCCAGGGAGAAAATGTCCAGGGAAAGCACAGCACTACAAGATCCCTGCAGGAGTTAACTAATCTACCCCCTGCCTCTGGCAGGGCCAAAAGCAAAATCCATTTGGGGATCCACACAGGCATAGAGCACTACCTTGTTTGCAAAATCTGATTGGCTGCATCTCTTTCTACTTTTTAAGTGAGCGCTGTAGGCAAAGTATGAGAAAAATGATTTATATATAGGTGTCCATGTCTACAGTGGGCTCTTCTTGATCATTAAGTATTTATTAAAATTCTCCCATACGTAAAGGTCAGCATTAAGTTTTCAAGTTAACCCAGTGTAGGGAAAAGTATGCTCACACTACAGTTTGGGTAAGAGGACAGGACACACACCAGATATGTCTGTATTCCCATGGAAGATGACATTTGATTGTGTTGATATGAGTATCAGAGACCTAAAAGATACCAGCACACACAATTCTCACCACGGTCACTTGGATGTCTAGCTCTGTGCTCTCACATGCAGGGAATCTATTCACAGCATTTCCAAACTATAAAAACTTAATTTTAGTGAGACTAAAGATATCTGTCTTGTCCTGTCTTGAATTCTTGCCCAGAAATGTATCTGATGCCTATCCCACCACTGGTGCTGCCATTTGGATGTAAAAATCCAGAGGCCAAACCCAGGGCTCCATGCAGGACAGAGGTTCTCAATATTCCCCTGAACAAAGGTGTGGGCTTTCCCATCGCAGAAAAGGGGGTTAATGGTCCCTCACTCCATGTCTCCCCAGATAAGACTCCTGTATGACATTAAACAGAAGGCTGAGCAGAAAAGCTATATATCATTCATTCGTACTTGCATTCAAAGAACTATGAAGGGTTAGACTCTGGTCTTAAAACAGTATGTGGCAGTGACCCTTGTTTGTGAATAATCAAGCCCCCGGGACATGGTGGCAAAGGGCAGTAAGATAGGCGGGTACGAGACATGTGGTCTTGAGGCCAAGAGGGAAAGAAAGAGGTCACATCACCCAGGAGGTGCACAGGTGGTTTCCTTGTTGGTGATATTTAAAGTGGGCTTTGGGGAATAGAGGATCTCATCAGACAGAGAAAGTGTGAGATTCATTCTAGGCAGAGGAATGTGGTGTAAACTGGGGGCCCCGGGAGGCAGAGTGGTTGGAGAAGGACAAGGTGGAATAAGAACCATAGAAGAGCCCTCGGGGAGGAGGCTGGAACTGCTCTTTCACACCACATACAAAGGCCCTTTTGTGAAGCTCGGTTTGGGCGGAGCCAGCGATCTCAAACAGGCATGGATGTGCATGGCTTGGGTGAGACAGCAGGGGTATCGAGGTGGGGAAAGCAGGAGAGGGGTGCTTGGAGGCCATTGTTCTAGTCTAGGTGATGGAAGACAATGGTTGGCCCTCTGGGGGGAGAGGCGGCCTTGGGGGATTGTTGACTGCAGAGGAGGTGATTGGGATGTAAAGACTGGATCCTGTGGGCAAAGGAGAAAAAGTGGGGGATGTCCTGAGCTGCTTTTGAGACCAGGGAAGATGAGGGAACAGGAGGAGAACCTCACACGTAGAAGGAGTGGGGTCCCGAACCCGGCAGCTTTTGAAATGAGCAGAACTGGAAGCATGCTGTGTTTGTGGGACAAGCACTGACTGGGTGATAAAGCCCTTGATGATGGGCAGTTTCCCTGTCTGCATCCCCAAAGACAGCTGTGGGACCACTGATCTTGGCCACATCATAGCTGCCACTTGACGTGGTTCTCCAACTTGTTATCAAGATGCCTCCATGGGAAGCTAGGTCTGAGGACCAGGAGAAAGTTTCTTTCAAATGTCTGTTTTATCTGAGAAAAGGTGTTTAATGTCTGAATTCTGCTACATAAAATTCTGCATGTGCTTAAAGTTTAAAATTATTTACCAATGAAATTTGCATATTAACCACTCCTCACCCCAAAGCACACATGTCCAGGGCTCTGGAACCCACAGTCTATAACCATCCATCTTCATGAGTGCAAAGAAGCACAGGATCTCGTAGGGTCTAATAGGGATCTGATCGTCACCACTGCTGGGATTTGGCAAGAGCCTTGGGTCCTGCATGGGTGCCTCTTGAGTTGTGATATCCCAGAATTCCTCGGCTAAACCTTTGGGCAGAATCTGAGCAAATACAAACTTTGTAAAAACAAAAACTACACTTCAGAGCTCTTCTTTTTTTTCCTTTCTTGAAAAAGCAAATAAAAACCAGAACAACCCTAAATACTAAATTGGATTTTTTTGGTGGCCCTGAAGATTGAACCTAGGGCATTTGACTTTATAGATTCACAAAGGAAGGACACAGTGGAGAAAAAAGTCAAAGAATACACAGGTGCACAAAATACCAAATTTTCACTGTCCTCTGCCTCTTCCCCTCCCCGCACCCTCCTTGAGGCACCTCCTGGGTAACTGTTGTTATAAGGCCCTGTTGCTCACTGTAAGGCTTGGCTGCTGCCATAGCAACCTCTCCTGGGGGCTGCAGGAATCCCGTGGCCCACCCCAGCCTACTGGGAAGATAACCAAGGTGACTGCTACCGCCTTCAAGTCTGAGGACCAAACTTCTTGTACAAGGCGAAGGGAAAACGTATCTCCCGTCACTCTAGAAATTGAGCTTTTTTTTTTTTTTTGCATCCTCATTTCTGTCCCCCTCGTTGGTGTCCTTGCCTTGCTGCTGGGGGAGGCAGTGAGTTAGTTCAGCATACCTGGTCACGGAGACTTTGCTCTAGCGGGATCAGTTTCCCCACGGCACTTGAAGTCCCCAGCCCACCTGGTCCCTTGCACAGCCTTTCTGTCTTCAGACGTCCCAGGAAACTAAAAACAAAATGCAGCATTAGAAAGAGTGAGCCCCAGGTTTGGTGAGCCTCTCGGCACCCTTGGGTGTCATTCTGAAGCCACTAAGGGAGCATGCACCCCAGCTTCTTGCGACAAACAGCTCAGATTCTGGGTGCCGCTGACTGAGCTCCCCAGCTTCAGGCTGCTGGGAGCCCTTGATGGATGATGGCATAGACAGGACAGCCATGCCTTCTAGAAAATCGGTCAAAGCCAGGTGTGGCAGGAGGATCGCAAGTTTGAGCCCAGGGTGGGTAAGTTAGTGACTTAATAAGACCCTGTTTCAAAGTAAAAAATACACAAATGAAAAATTGCTGGGGACGTAGCTCAGTGAGCTGGGTATAACCCCCAATCCACCACAATAAATAAATAAATATAAAAAGAAAAAGAAAAAGAAAAGAAAAGCACACAGAATGTTAGCCCAAGCTCAGGGAACCGGCGACTCGAACCAGCCTTCAGTTCTGTTGCTGCTCAGGCAGGCGAACATGCTGGTGGTCACACTCCTAACATATTTCAGGATCAGACACTCCAGTCCATCTTTCTCCTGTGAGTAGGGAGAGTTTCATCAAAGTTGAAACTTTCTGGAGGCCGGAAAATAGTATTAGAGTTAAGTGATGACCAGGGCCAACCACGCCTGACTCCTGCGGAGGTAGAGTGGAGGGATGGGTATAGGCACACTATATTCAAATGACTATGTGAGCTAGCCTAGCTGCCACAACTCATAACAGACCCAGCGGCTTGCACGGCACGTGCTTCTCACTGTTGTGAACGCTGGAAGAGCAGTATCAGGACATGTGCTGGGCTCTGGAAAAGGCTCCCTTCCTGGCTGGTAGGCAGCCCCCTCTTTCTGTGTCTTCACACAGCAGAGAGAAAGATCATATCTTCTGTCCCTTTTCATAAGGGGACCCCAAATCCCACTCGAGAGGGCTCTGTCCTCTGACCTCATCACCTCCCAGCATCCCCTCTGACGCCACCACTGGAGAGTAAAGACTTCTACACAGCAGTAGGGCTGGGGATACACTCACTGCCTCCATAGCGACAACTAAGAGGATTATGTAAATTAGACACATTGCTTTATTTACACACTTGACATATAAATTGGACAGGGGACAGCCTAGTGTTTTTCAGCCGAAGCTTTATTTTGGTATATCTGAAACTCCCCTCCTTTGGTGCCAGGATTCGCATGCCCTTCTTATCTCTCTCACTACCTCTGTCTCCACTGCACATCAGTCTCTTCTGTGTCTTCATCAGCTAAAATAATTTTTAGACTTTAGTTCCTATCCTGTGAAAATAATGTGTTTTTCACTTTTTGGCTGTAAAAGCAGTTACTGAATATCTTTTTCTCAAGTGGCATACTGTCTCCAGGCCTGGGGAATTTGGTGCATCTCTTTGGGATAATGTGCTCTTTGAAAGAGTCTCTATCTGAGACCCAAGCCTCTCCTGGTGAGTCAGTGCCATTTGCAGACTGGGAAGAGAGAGAACAAGGCCACACCATTAAGCAAGCCTAGTCTCGGAATCAGCGCCATGCATGGGACCCTCTGGACTGGGAACAGCCAGACCCCAGCCCCTTCCAGTGCATGAGCTGGCATACAAGAAGTACCAACATCCCACCCCACCCTGTAAGTGACCAGCTGATCCAGAGAAATACAGACTGGGTTGATAGCTATGGAGGTGAAATGCAATTGGATGCCTATGGTGCTTTGGTGTTTCACTAACATTGCAGGTCTAAGGCCAGTGGTCTGATCATGGGTTCAGAGGACAGTGGTACACAGTGTGACATCTAGGGGGATCTCCTTCTGAGACTAACAGCCATTGTTGATTCCCTATGGTCTTTCTTTGAAGTCCTATATTGTTTCCATTGTTTTGTTGGGTTGGGTTTTATTCTCTTTTGTTTTATTTGATTATGTTAAATCTGCAGAAGCAGCTATTTGAAAGCAAGATATAGTAACCATTTTGGATTTACTGTTGGCTTGTTTTAAAATCCTTTATTGCATTCATGGTTTCATTTTTATTGTTTCTATTCTATTCTGTTGTATTTGATTTTTACTATGTCTGAAGTTATCTGCAGCTATTTTGAAGACATTAAAAGCCATTGTGATAACTATTGTTGATTTCATAAATGTTTTGAAGTCCTGTATCTCTTACACTGGTTTATTTTGATTGATTTTATTCAGTTTTATTCTCTTAAAAATAAAAAAAGAATCTCTAACTTAGGAATGTATTACAGGAGAAATTCTCGAAATGCACTGATGGCTCTGTTCTTGCCACAATTCTGGTTGCAAACCGAATTGGATGAGAACCGAATCAAATTCAATGATTGGGTTCAATGTTGTGGTAGGAACTCTGATTTGGTTTTCATCCAATTCAGTTTGCGACCATAAACGTGTACAGAATAAATCTCATGAACCAAGGAGCCACTGTAATTACTTTGCAAAGATCATGCTGGAAATATGAGGAAACAAGAAGGTAGCTTCTTCTAAGGGAGAAGACAAGATAAAATAGAAGACAGGACAATGGATTTGGTTTTTCTTTGACCATTTCTCATGTGTACCTTCCTGCAGATCTCTGCACAGGTCAGATTTGATTCTGAAAGGCATTTGCCTATTTCTAATTTCTAATTTGAGGCACAGTTTGGCATTTTTAAAATAAGGAACTAATTTATTTTTTCCATTGAAAATGAGCCTTTTTAAGAGCCTTGGGAGATGCCCTTCAGACAAGAAATTCCCACCACAGTGTACAAAATTGATGGGTCTTTCCTTAAAGTAGATTTTCATGTGGAGTGGGGAAAGAACATGGGAATTTCATGGTCCTGAAAAAAGGAGGTGGGGAAACCATGGACAAGAATGAAGCCGATGTGTCTTTTTGGCTGTTTTGGAGGAGTCTCAGAGTCTGAGTGGCTGTGGACAGCTCCCTTCCATGTTCAGGTGAGGAACAACCAACGTGGTGTTTCTGCTCCATGTCCCACTGGCACCGGACACAGTAGATGCTCAATGATGTTGACTGAATAAGTGAATTCTTAACAATATTACTTGGTATTCGAATGCCTGGTGGGCAGTTGGTTTGTAACATCCCAGAGGTTCAATCTGCTGTATGCTTTTCATCTGAACATCTTAGGAGAATTTTCTAGAGAATCATAGTTACCATATAATAACCGTAAGGTACAGAGAACAAGTGTCGTAAGCCTGATCTTGATTTTGCCAGTATTGTCTTGGGACACTCTTCATGCCTTGGTTTCTCACTTGTCGAAAAGGATACGAACGTCTCACAGAGCAGCTGTAGAGCAGAATGAGATGGGTGGAGCTGAAGGCACAGGCCAGGCACTTTGTAGGTGTTAAGGAATATCCAGTTATCCCAAGTCTCTGATGGCAATCCTTTTAGCGAGCCATTACTTCTTCCCCTCTGTGACCTAAGTCAGTGATGATGGGCCTAAAATTAGGTGGGGCTGGGAGTTCCCCTGTTTTTAGGCCCATGGATTGTCTCAAAGTGGTGCATTTCAGAAGAATAATGAGGTCCTTTGGGGAGATACTGGTTGGTTCCCAGGGCAGGGTGGAATGTTGGGATTTGACCAGGATCATGACCCAACCAGGGATGTGGTTCGGAGTCTCCTCCCACAAGAAGACTTAGATAGAAGGCAAATTTTGTAACACTTTTTAGGAGCAACGGACTCTTTGGGAGCCCTGGCACTTTTCTGCTTAGTGATCCAGAACTTTTGCAAAGGCACGTGATCAGGTTTTTATTCAGGCCTCAGAGCTAAACATTCAGTGGTACCCAAGGCCTGGGCATGAGCTTGATGGAGGCCAAGGACCATGACTTTCTCTTGGAAGCTGCACAGTTTCTAGCCAGGGCCATGTAGGAGCAGGTCAGTATTTGCTGGGTGAATGAATGAATGAAGTAAGGCCCAAATGGAGTCTAGCCAGAGAAAGGAGCTAGGACAGTGAGAATGGCAGGCAGGGAACCGACCTGGAGAGTTGGAGGCTTGTGGTGGCTGGGAACAAGGTTGGAACATCACAGATGTCACAGACAATGAGAGTGCAGATTGTAGACCAGTGCAAAGCCCATGCCTATTCCCACAGAAGTCTCTGTGTTTGTGGCACCCCAGTTTGCACGGTCTCTAGGCCAGCTGTAGTCTTCTTAGTGGGCATCTCATTAGGCAGCTTGGGGCAGCCCTGTTCTCTCTAGAGAGTTGAATTGAACAGGGAATATGAATTAATCCATCTTCTATTGCCAATAACACAACATCACAAACCTTGCAATAGGGGTTAAATTTCAACACATGAACCCTTGAGGGCGCTCAAACCAAATCCAAATCATAGCAGGCCAAGTTGGGGTCAGCTTGGGTGCCAGGGTTTCTTAATCTGACTTTTGTGATTGCCTACTTCCTGATTCAAGTGAGGCCAGAAGATCTAAGGTCCTGTACGTGAGTCACCTTTGGGCGGCAGCTGGCACTTTTCTGCTTAGTGATCCAGAACTTTTGCAAAGGCACGTGATCAGGTTTTTAGTAGTCCATCCCTCCTCCTCCTCCTCTCCTCCCCCTCCTCCTCTTCTCCTCCTCTTCCTCCTCCTTCTCCTCTTGGTTCTCTTCTTCCTGTCCAAAATTCTTCCTTCCTTCCCTCCTTCCCCTGCTCTTACCTTGAGATCCATCGCTTCACCCCGGAAGCAGCCTGGCTTCATGGGTGCAGGAGATGGGTGAGCTAGGACTTGTGCAACATTTACTTATCTTTCCTCAAATGCATTCTACTAGGGGAATAGCCTCTAAACACCACTAACTGCTTTCAATATTGATCAGCCCCCACATACCGGCTCTTCCTATCCTCTGAAGCAAATCTAGACCCAATATCATTTCACAGTCCTCAGGTTCAAAATGATCATACCCCTAACCATCAAAGCTTCTTCTCTTGACAATAGGGTCAAAACTATGGATTTCCTCACCAGAAATAACCACTCACCTGCTTGCACTTGGTCTTGAGTACTAGTGCAGGGGGGAGCCATGAAATCCTGTGTTAAGAACCCTGGTTTGAATTGAAGTATCATCTCTGGGCTTAATTCTTAGACCTCCTTTACTCAGAAAGATGCTGGGTAGGGCAAAGACAGCGTAGTGTTGTACAGCAGGGCCTGAAGCAAAGGTCTTTGCAAAGATAAATTGAAGTCCATCCTTCCTCATTATTTCCCTCCGTCTCTGAGGAGTCACTTGCATGACTACGAAACCCTAATTATTACTTTCATTGAAGGTGGAAGTAACTCAAAACCTTTAAAAGTAACGCTTATGAATATGTTATAAAAAGTTAGTCTGGGCTTATTGAAGTAGAAAATACTCTCAATGACTATTAATGAAGGGATATGACACTAGATACAGGGTTACAATACCAATGATCCAAAATTGAGAAAGATAAATCTTAACAAAAATGATTAAAATAATGGATGCTAATATAATTTTTTATATGTTCCAAATTTTTAAGGGACATGAAATCGCTTTGGAATTCAAGGTCAGCAGATTACCTGTTTAAATGCCAGCTCAGCTCCAGCTGTGCCATTACTAACTTCCACGAGCACTGAAAAATCTATGTGGGGTCTATTTCGATTTCCCAATTTTGCTCTTTCCAGGAGAGAGAAGTTAAAAGGTGAATCCATCACCAGGTTGGTATTTAAGCCCATAATCAAGATGATCAGCATAACATTTAAGGTACAGGCTGCTGAAAATAATTGATAGTCTTACACACAGGCAATCTCATTAACATAGGACAGAGATTGCAGGCACGTGTCAGAGAGTCAGCACAAAATCCACTCGGTCAAAATTCCTGAAAATTGCATCCTCAGGTAACTAAGGAGATGTCTTCTTTTCAGGGGCTGGGGAGCGATTGTCTTCCTTCTGGCCTGCTGCTTTCACCCTGGTGGTCCCTGCGCCCGCTCCTCCTCCCTACAGCCTAGGCTCCTCTCGGCTTTTAGCAAAATGGAGATGCTGGTCAGCTCATTGACTGCCACTGAGGAAGTCATTGCTCTCTAGGTGATGACCTCACACTCCTTTGGGGATCTTTGTCTACTTTCCAGTGCTCTATCCTCTTCAGCCTACTTCATTTAAAAGGATTATGCATAAGCATGTTGACTTCTGATGTCTGTATATCTCTCCTTCTCTACACATACACACACACATGCACACACACACGCATATGCGTGCACACATTCACGTCCTCTCTGTTTAGACTGAGAGTTACATTAAGGAATGATATATAGCCAGCATTTCTAGATGTTTCAGTAGGAGGCTTTTCAGTTTATCTTTAGGCCGCTGTCTTTCCAAAACTACAAGGTTGGCTTCATGTCCTTCCCTCTCTGTTCACAGCAGTTTCTAGAGGATTCTAGGCTCTTGCCCTATGCTACGGAGATGACATGATAACGGTCCAGATTTTCCCTGCCACAAATCCAGAGGGAAAGTGATGCCCCCTTGTGGTAGCTTTACTAACACAAGAAAACGAATTTCACTTTTCCAGAAGCACCTGGGGCTTCACTGGCACACATCTGGGCTGATGCTCCCTTTGAGCTCCCCATTCTGGTTGGGGATGGTATAGACCACGTGGCTCAAGACCTTCCACCTAGGGCGGTGTCCTAAACAGCCCAAGCCACATGGATAACTATGAACAAAAATTCAGTGTTGTTGTCCAGGAGCAGGGATGTGCAGAGTCACTGTCAGACAATATTTCAATTTCTTTTTTACTCCGACCCAGCTATGAGTCTATTGAGATGCATCCAATTCTTGTTACCTCAAAATAGGGGCTTTGCCAAATGTGAGGTCAGCAAACGGGGATCAGGGAAAGGATATTGTTTCACAGTGGGTTTATTTTTATTTTGTCATACAGGAGATGAAAGCCAGGGCCTTTGCATGCTACACGCTAGGGATTGTGTTTCCCCTAAAATAAGACCTAGCAGGAAAATAATCTGCCTAGAAAACTAGAGAACCTCAAATGCTGGTGCCAAGGCAGTGTGGTACAGTAGAAGAGCATTGCAGAGGAGAAATAATATATGGGGTGCAGCCAGCAAGCCTTCTCTTTGTGCCTTTATATTCCACCCAAGCCTATGGATTGGTGCCATTTATACCCAGGTTGGGGCTCCCATTATTCACACCCCTAATCCCAGTATCACAGTCCTAATCCACATGCACATGCCTAATCCAGTCACCTTCCACACTTCCCAGCTCTGAGCCGATGAGGCTTTTTGGGGTCATCCAGATAGGAACCCTGACACAGTGTTAAGGGCCTATCCTCACCTTACAGAGTAGCCACCAGGCAAGAGGAGGTGGTGGCAGGGGTCTCTGGGTAAGGAGTGGTCTACGATACGGACTTAAAAATCTTCAGAGCCTAAAAATCAAGATAGACATCAGCGAGTTTTTAACACCAGGAGTCGGTGATACCATTATAAATAATAGCAATAACATAGTTACACAGCAATTTACCATTCACAGGACATTTTTGCACTCATTTACATTTAATGGCATCTGTAAAGCTGTTATGAATTTCATTCCTAGCAGCAGAATCCCCTGCAAACATATCCAATAATCTAGTGATTTGTGGAAGTAACAGCTTGTTCCAAAATTAAAATGCTATTTTGCCACATAAGTAAATATGTGCTTCAAATTACAGGACCATGACCCAAAATTTTATGTACAAAGATATTTCTAATAACAAGAAAATTAGGAACTGCATGAATATTGAACAGTATTAGAATGTTAAATAAATCATAGTGTATCTATTGCATTGCATTGTGAGTGGATGATTTTTAAGTGATGCTCTCAAAAACGTCTAAAAAAGGAAAAAGTTCATCATACACACGTGATAAAAACAACAACTTAAGAACCTGAATAAACCTGTGTTTGCAACAATTAACACATAGTGATGCCTAGCATGCATGATGGGCAGAGTAACATTAAAAACATTTAATAGTATTTACCAACCAAACAGAGTAGCCACCATCTATTTTCAATTGGTGTGGTCTGGCCAAGGGGTTCGAAGTCTTTATCCTCAAAAGTTAACAGTGGTTAGATTATGGGGGCAATTTATCTTTTCCTCTTTTCATATTTAAGAAAAACTTGTCTTTCTCTGCTTTTTACATTCTAAAATAAGAGTGCCAAGAATACACTAACATATCATACTTTCACTCATATGCAATGTATCTACCACAGGTCTCAAAGGAATTAAATTAGTGCTTAATAAGTGATAATGATATTTATGATTTTGAGAGGCACTGGGGTTGAATCCAGGGCCTTGACATTAAGCTACATCCCTGGCTCCTTGTGCAAATTTTTATTTTGAGACAGTGCTTCATTAAGTTACTGAACTGTTCAAACTGGGCTTGAATTTGCCTGAGCCTCCAGGGGCTGGGATTATAGGCAGGTACCTCTGTACCCAGCAAGTATACTTAATAGTATTCAGTGTGTGTTGGCATTTAAAAGTCCTTTGGGAGACAATACCCGGGTGCAGGCCTCTGATCTGAATGAAAATTGCCTGCCTCCTCCCCCCGCAGTCCTAGCCATGAACTTTGTACCTTTATTCCCATCAAACAAGGACAGGAATGATCCTTGGCTGTCAAGGCTGCGTGAATTAAACAAGTTAAAGCATGCAAAGCCCTTAGATTGGCACCAAGGAAGAACTCAGTAAAGATGAGGCGTTGCTGTATTTTGGTGAAATTATTTCACTTCGACACAGAAACATCTACTACTAAGGAAGTCTCAGAAAGAGACCTGGGCTTGGCCATCAATAAGGCCCTCAAGACCTGAGCATCCAGGGTGCAAGGTGGAGACCTTCATCATTATTTTCCTCCCCTGCCTACCATTTCCTGGCACTGTGTAGTTCAGATTTTCCCCTGAGAAGACCTCCTCCTACCGACTCTGTAGTGTGGTTAAACCCTTCCCCCATGAATTTCACCTGCTCTGCCCTCCTGTTGCTGTTTCAGGTGACTTACAGAGTGTGTTGGTTGCATGGATTTCCATGATGCATCACAAGCTCTGTCTCCTTCCTAACATGGCTGCAGCGAAGTGAAATCCGTCTGCTGGTTTGCAGTTAACAGGTGTGAAGCTAATAGGGTACTAACCGAGCCGCGAATGACTAATTAGGAACCAGGCGAGGCTTGTGCTGGCAGCGTGGATGGTGAACCCGACCCGTCCAGTGAACCCCGAGTGGTGGGATTTAGAAGGACTGAGCTCGCTTCGCCCTTTGCAAAGCGGTCCTCTGTCCTTCCCAATTTCCTAGGCAAGTGGCAGTTGCTGGGAAAGAAACCCGGATCCCTGGCAGGTAAAAGGATGGTGAGGCAAACTGCTGTCTCTGCCCCTCAAGTTGGGGAAGGCGAGAGCGGGTGGTCCCTGAGCAGACAATCTCAGAGCACCGGGGTGCACCCTGATAATTTGAGAAGCTGCTAATATTTATAGAAATGGGAATGTATTTAAAATTCAAACATATAATTTCTACTATTTTCAACCTCCCATATGTGGTATCACCAAAAGTAAATTTTGAGAACAGTAGTGGGAAAATACTGCCCGGGGAGAAAGGAAAGTTATAGTGAGAGGCTGGTTTCTATAATAATTTATTTCACAATTCGAGCAAATTCCTTTCCCTAGGGGAGTATTTGACAGAGTAATTGCACTGGGGAGCAGTCACTGTTTTGTTTCATTTTCTCTCTCTTTTTAAAACTTTCTTTGTGAAGCAAAGTGTTATAAATCTTCCTGAAAGAGCAATTTAAACAAGATATGCAGGCTGTGAGATAGTTTTATATGTGCGTGTACATATATATAATGGAGATACAGTGATTCATTCATTAATTCATTCACTCATTCATTCCCCAGAAGGACGTCAGAACAATGAAAGGAAGAAATTAGAAGTCCTTGAGGATAGACATACAAGGAAGTACACCTTTGCATCATGGGAAGAAACCAGCAGCAAAACCCATTGCCCTGAGCTCAACTTGGATCGCACCAGACCAAGTTGTAATGATCTTATTAGTCATAAAGCTTTTTAAAAATTATAATTGCACGTATAATACAAAATTTTAAGCAATGAACTTCTACAAATGTTTGAGTTTTAATGTTTGATCACCTGATAGTGTAGACAATTGGGCTCTAAGGTAGAGGGATTTGGGAGGTTTGTGTTCCTCTCAGTTTTTTCCTGTGGAATTTGGCAGCTGCCTAGTTCTGGTTTTGGTTCTGGCTCATTCTTTCCATCCTCAGGGGCCTGGAGATACTACAGGCTCTTGTAACCTCCAGTAGACCTCTAATATGCTCAGTTGCACCAAGGTTTGGGGTCTGATACCTCTGTTCCTCCTATGAGTATGTGTATCTTTGTTACTTTTCTCATTGCTGAGATAAAATGCCCAGCACCCAAAATAAAAGGAGGAAAGGTTTATTTCAGCTCATAGTCTATAGCGGTTTCAGCCCATAGCTGGCTGGCTCCAAGGCAGGGTGGCATGGCAGACATGCACAGGAGGGAGAAATAGTTCATGGCAGGCAGGAGACAGCAAAGAAGTGAGAAGCAGCAGGCTGCCTTCTTTCTGTCCCTTTATATTCCACTCAGGTTGCAAGCTTATTCACTGATGCCACCTGTACCAAGGATGGAGCACTCTTAATCCCAGCACCCCACCCTTAACCACAGCACCCACCCTTAATCCCAGCATCTCACCCTTAACCCTGACATCACATCCTTAATAATCCTCTTGACACACCCTACTCCAGCCACCTTTGAAGCTCCCCATCTATGACCACATGAGGCTTTGGGGGGAAATCTAGATAAAAGCCATAACAATTTGTAAATGAAAAGACAGCACAAATTAGAGAGATGAATTTTAGGATGAGCAGAAAGGTGGAATTTGATGCATGACTCTTTGTTCATGAGGAACACGTATTTCAGAGAGGGAGGTTTGTTACTGTGGACAAAGCACATCCACAGTGCTCACCTGCCGCATCTGCAGGGAGAAGGGATGCTTGCAAAAACGAAAGCATTGGCTGTGTATCATTTAATAGGCCTATGATCCCAGCCCTCTAGGAGGCTGAGGTAGGAGGATTGCAAATTGAAGATCAGCCTGGAAAATTCAGAGACTGAGGGAGGTCTTGTCTCAAAATAAAAATAAAAGGAGATTGGGGATCAGTTTAGTGCAAAGGCCCTGGATTCAGTGCATAGTACTGTAATTATATAAAAATTAAGTCACAAAGAATTTAAAAAGTAAGAGAGAGAATTACAGGCAATGGGAAAATAAGAAATAGTAATTTGATTCTAAAGCAGAAGATTAACGCTTCAAATGGAAATTAAATCATTTATTATATTATTGCTATTATTTTTACTATTCTAAAAATATGACAAGTAGAAAATTGAGAAATTAACCAAAATATTTCCCATACTCCTTTCTTCAACAGGGAAATTTTATTTTTTAAAAGTATGTGTTTCCATTGTCTCACCTTATAGATTAAGACTAATATTCAGAAAAGTTAAGTGGCCTGGTCACAATGCCATAGCACATAGGGAACACCTCAAGTGAGGGTACCGTTTTAAGGAAGCCCAAAGGAAAAGTTTTGATAAAAACTTGTCTGCCAGCCTCTGTCTAGTGTAGACTCGATGGTTGAAGCTTTCTGCTGAATTGCATTCTCTCTGTCTCACTTAAAAGGATGAAAATTGTAGAGCAAGCTTTAAAAGCAGAGCAGAGTGAGAGGCGGGTGTGGAAGCACATTCCTGTAACCTGGTACTCTGGGAGGCTGAGGCAGGAGGACTGCAAACTGGAACCCGGCCTAGGCAACTCAGTGAGGTCCCATCTCAAAATAAAAAATAATAAAAAGAGTCAGCTAAGGATGTAGCTGAGTGCAAATACCCTGAAATCAACCCCTGATGCAAAAACAAAGAAATAAACAAAAACCAAAAAAACCCCAGGCTGGACTTGGATTCCTGAACTAAATTGGATACTATTAATGGTTTTTGTCTGCATGATTTTTCCTCTTAGATGAGAGTGGCAGCATCTTTTTTTGTGAAAGCAAATGTAGAAAGGAAAAGAAAAGAAATGCATTTCTGAAGCCTTAACAGTGGCCTTCTAAGAACTAGTGGAAAAATCCAAGCTTGAGGAAGGAGGAAAGCCCAGACCCTGGTCCCTGGGCATCCAAAGCCCATGCCCTCAGAATGACTCCAAAGCTGGGCAGTCTGGGGGCGTCACCTCACCTCCTGCTCCCCAATTCTGGATCTTGCAATTCAGTGTCTATTGGGCTCCTTTTTCCTCTTGAGCTCAGATTCCACTATCCAGGGAGCTGAGCGCAGTGTGGACTTTCCTGGCCCCTGAAATAACCCTGAAAAATACTCCTCGGATATTTTTAAAAATTGAGAAGACCTGAATCATTAAAGAATAAAATTTGGGTACTCTAAAGTAATAGTTTATCCCCTGCTGACTCTCCAACACTTGTTTCAGGCTTGTTGCTTTTTTTTTTTTTTTCTCGTGTGAAAATTTAACTTTCTTATGACGTTTGCAAACTTCTCACTTTTGACTTGAAGCTCGCATCTGACTCATCCATTTATACCCTGCAGTTAGACTCCACACCTGCGTCCTGGGCATTCACAACCAGCAGTGCGTACATGCGACCGCAGTGCTGGTGTTGTAGGTGTCGGTCTGCGGGTCTTCAAAGGGTCTGGCTGTGTGCAGAGGTAGAAGGCCCGAGGAAAGTCCTGCTGATTAAGCCCTCTCTCCTTGATGAGCCAGAGGTGTGGTCCCGTGGCTGTGCTGCACTGCTTGTACGACCCAGGGCCTCTTGGGACGTGAAGATACAACAGAAATTGTCATCTGTCTCCAGTGTCAGCCAGGGTTGATTTCAGTCTGGGCTTTGTTGCTCATTACTGCCTAGCTAGCTATAGGTTTTCTTGTCCTTTTGAGCTTCTGGGACCTCAGTGGAGGAAAGGGCAGCTTCTGGGCTAGACAGGCTGAACAGAAATTCAGGTGTGAACCCAAGATGATGCCGGCACAGTTTTGGAGGTTAGAAGAGCGGGGCATTCCCATAAACACCCTCTGGAAATGGTTACATATTTGTGACCACCACAAAATTACTAGGAAGGTCTCACTTTTTGCATATGTGAACCCCTCTCAGATTGGCATCCTTTCTCTTTACAGAGGCCCACTGACCAGTGTAACGAGAATCTTCTGATTCAGTGTTGGGCAAACTATGGCCGTGGGGCTGAATCTCACCTGCACCCCTGTCTTTATCAGACAGCTTGGAGCATGGCAGCACTGATTCTTTAACCACACCTGACCCTTGTTCTGAGAGGAGGTGGGTTTGATCCTGCTGGTCCCTCCTCCTCTTGGGGCATTTGGGGGCCAGTGGCTGATCTGCTCTACTCTCTTGATGGAGCTGTTCTTTGGGGTGCCCCATCCCCACATTCCCTAGCAGCACCAGCAGCTTTACAGCTTGTCCTAGGAGGGATGTATCGTGGACACTAAAGGCAGATCAGCAGAGTGCATTTGAAATCTGTGGGTGCCTCTGCTCAGGTCCTGCTACATGAACAATGTACTAGAGATTCGGCTTTACAACAGCAAAAGCTAAAGACATCTTTTGCTTTCAGGTCTCCTTCCTGGTCACCAGGAGGAGCATTCTCAAAATAGAAGGGATGCAGAGACCTTGAGGGTCATAGGACAGTTTGGGGGCTACAGATTAACCCTCCTTTGGGCTCACTGGTGGGCTAAATTGAGCTCTTACCCAGCCTGGAGACCAGGAAGTCCTTCGGGCTAATGACAACTTAGTAAAGAGAGCTCCTTCTGGCTGCTTTGTGAGCTAAATATGAACCAGATCTATTTGACGACTTGGAGACCTCGTTGGTCTTTTTCCGTGTGGAAAGCTCCGGAGCCAAGTTTGGAGGCTGACTCCCTTCTCCTGATCATCGCCCCTCAGCCTGGGAAGAAGGATGTTTCCCATCCTCTCCCTGCACCCTGGCCCCTCTGCTTCTCCTCTGCCTGCTTCCCATGCTTGTCGCTCCTCTGGGCACTCTGTTCCTTTGGCCAGGGCTTCCCCTCAAGCAAACCCTCCTTTCTCCTTCAAACCTCCATCCATCCTCCATCTCCCCTGCTGTGAACCTTGGCTCCCCCCTCCCCCAACAGACTCTTTTCTTCCTGTGAGCTGAGAACGTTTCTTTCACCCCATTGTAGCCTCCATCAGATGATGTAATTCCATTTTTATGCCTTGCTTCCTTAGACAGTGGGCCATGTCCCTTTCATTTTTGTGTCCCCAGTTCCTGGCTCAGTATCTAGCACACAAGGAAATGCAGAGTGATCCAGCATCAAGGTTACACAGCCCAGTTAGAAGCTGCAGGACCCTGGCTTGTTTCTTCACCTCTGGAAGCCTCAGCTCCTCTGCTGTCTGGTGGGAGCCATAACAGTTCCCAGCCCTGGGATCATCGTGGGGATTAGATGGCTGAATTAGGTTCAGGATTTACTGTGGCTCCTGACATTGTGTGTCAGTGTGAACTGCTGTAAGCACTCCTTCCCCCAAAGTACTGAGTAACTCATAGAGTAAACAACAGGACCAGGCAGCACAGAGGTGACCAAATCGCTCCTTCGATAAACATGGGCTTGTGGAAACCACCGACAAAGATGAGAGTCCGTCCTAAGTGGAAAAGTGGTCTGTGGCACAGGGAGGGCCTGGCTTCTCCCAAAGCTATGCCTCCTTTTCTGGAAGGCCTTCTCCCCACATGGGCAAAGTTTGGAGTCTCTGAACTTTCTTTTTCTTCAATCAGGTCAAGCAATTGCAGACAGGGAGGGAGGAACACCAAAGGCCAAAGAACGGGCCTCACACCCAGCTCATTAGTATCACCAGCATCCTAACAAATGGGAGGCCGGAGAGACAGACCGAGCGGCCACTTGGTCACATGGTGGGGGTCTGCCCCGGGGCCCTGCGCACATTGAGCAGCCGGGCACAAGTGCCATCTATATTTCCCCGCACAGCCCCGGCCCCCACTGCCCTGTCAGCCTGCTGAGCGAGCTTGGCCGCGACTCTCGGACTTCGCAGAGAAGATTTATTCCCCAAGACTGACCTACATGGACGCATG